ATCAAAGCCTTGATCCAACATCACAATCTTGCAAGCTACAAATAAAATTAACGCATATAACAAACCTCACTGACTGCCACAAATGCTGGTCCTGCTTCAACCTTTGCAAAATTGCAGGACCCATCTGCACATACGGGATCTCCTTCTTCTAAGCTGCAGTTTAAATAATCATACATTTTCTTCTCAAGCTCGCAATCGTATTTCTGCAATAATATTAAGTCCTTTGTGTTAATATAACACCTAAAACGAAAAGTTGACTTTCTTACCAGGGATTTGATCTCTCCGGTTGGCAAATTGGTATGTTCGTATCCACTTCCAACGTGATTTCTAAAACTTATTATTTTTGACTTTTCTCACATCAGTAAAACCCGATTATATTTTCCGAAAATAAGCAACAATAAATTTCTGTCTACAATTGTGCACCCAATCTCAACTCTAATATACCACCCTTAACATGTATCTTATTGGTTTCAACTATAGACCATGTTCAACCCATATTGTCCATGTTCAACCCTATGATTAGGTAATTGTAAAGAATTACCTATTCTGATTTCTCGAGCCAATAGTGACTGTACGCTTTATTCAGTAAATCTTTTAATTGATTAGAACAGCAAGATTGGCCTCTACCAGATTATTTCATAGTCGAAACCCAATCAGTTGTTTGAAAAGTTTGAACTTTAATGAAAAACCAAATATGATTTAGTTTCGTGGTGGTGCAGAAGCAAAATATGCGTATTGGACGATTTCACTCTTATGCGCAATGACAGGTAGAAGAAAAAGCTGCAGTAAGTCATCTGACAATTGAACTGACTTTCTGAAAAACAATTGGTCAAAGCATGCTCTTATCCGCAGAACATTAGGATATGAAGGAAGTAGTGCGACAGAAACAGCAAATCTGTTTGTTAAATGACAAGATTATGATCAGATACCAGAACATTGAATTTGTTCGTGGCTATCATATTTGCTTTATCCATATGCTGTGCCTAAGAAATTCGCTTTTGCTGCTAAAGATAAAAATGTTTGCTT